CAAAACGGGCGAATATGAAGAAAAGCATGCTAAGAGACCAGATGCAGATCTGAAGACCTATTTTACTGATAAGAAAACACATCTTTATACATTAAGTAAGAAAAACCAATAATTTGGGGGGTTTATGGCACTACAGATTTATTATTGATCCTATATAATAGAGGAATATGCTAATTATCCATTATGCCATAACACCACAACCAATCTACAAGTGGTGGAGAGCTACAGGAGGGCGGAGCAGCGAGCTAAGAGCAGTGGAGGGCCACTAGTGGCAGTGGGCGGGTGGCCGCTGAGGCAAGTGGCAGTGAGCTACTCCAGCCTGGATTCGTGGGCAGGGCTACTAGTTTAATATAAAGATAGTACATCTAGAGAAGACCTAAGCCTGCAAATAAGAGTCTCTACTGACCTAATCCCTTAGTAATGAAATGAACCTAATGCCTTGGCACAAAAGGGAGCTTCTCGTTCAGCTGGCATGGCCTTTGAACCAGGAGGTTATGCCTGAGTTTCAGGCTTGATCCACAGTAAGGGCATACAGAGGGCAGTCGATCAGTGATTCATCATTGATGTTTCTATCTTTCCCTCTCCTTTCCTCTCAAAAATCAATGAAAAATATATTAAAAACAAACAAAAGGGAAGGAGGGAAAAAAGCACCTTCTCTTCCATAGTTTGAATTGAGATTCAGGGTTTAAAACATTTTTGAGAAAAAGTTTTATGTTCCTTAAGAAGCTTCTTTGCTGATACCTCATTTCCACCCTTTGTATATTTTCTTGTTGATAAAATGTTAAGCAATAAAACATAATAGAAATATATGCATGATGTTTTCAAATTATCTTTTAATTAAAGTTTGCTTGGGTACTCCAACACCTGGACAATTGAATTTAATCATTTGGACATTAGAATGGGATTTTTATTTTCATGATACTTTTCCCCTAGTTTGAAATTACATACACGCATGCCTCCTTTCTTTCTTTCTTTTTTTTTAAAATATATTTTATTGATTTGTACAGAGAGGAAGGGAGAGAGAGAGCTAGAAACATCGATGAGAGAGAGTCATCGATCAGCTGCCTCTTGCACACCCCCTACTGGGGATATGCCCACAACCAAGGTACTACATGGCCTTTGACAGGAATCGAACCCGGGACCCTTCAGTCCCCAAGCCGACTCTCTATCCATTGAGCCAAACCGGTCTCGGCAATGCCTCTTTTCTTAAAGAATACAATAACCTTTTTTTCTTCGTAACAGTAATATATGTTCTGTATAGAAATTCGCAAGATAGAAATAAACATCTTTATTTCTTTAGAATTATCTGAAATAACAACATTGTAATATATATTAACCATTTGTGAATAAACACATGTATGTGTATAATAATAAGTATAGATGTTATTTTTTATTGGAAGTTAAATATCCTATATTGTACTTGGTCTCTTCACAAAAGTGCAAGAATCTTTCCAGGAGACTACATATCATTATTAACAGTGCTAACTTAATTATCCTTGAGAAAAGCTGCCTAGTACACCATTGTCTTCCATAGTATTCGGGATGTGCTGTGACCCAGTCAGTTGCCAGTTAGACTTGTGTGAGATCTAGGTTTTAACATAATCACACTTGATACCTTTATGGATTTAAAATTGTTTTTTTTTTATTCTTCATTTGACCCCAAAAATACAACTAGGAATAGACATATGATTTAATAAATAAAAGGTTTTTGAAATTTGAAATTTTGTTAGCTTAGATGGTGGTAATGCCAATTCAAAAAATGAGGAAATGGACCTTTACCTAGGGGTGGTTATAATAAGTAAACTCATTTGCCTCTTGACTGGTGTGTAACCATTTATGTCAGACCAATATTGCATTAGTTTATGTGCCTTTGGTTTTTCTGTTGGTGGTTTTTTGTTTTTGTTTTTGTCTCTCTTTTTTTTTATTTTTTATGTTTTAATGTCTGTAAATGAAGTCTTTGGTGTTTAAAATTTTATCTATGATCTGTTTTAATTACTAAGAATCTGAGGAACTAGTTTTTATGATTTACAGGATTAACTTGCTCAGGGCTCCCAAGATCATGTTCTGACTTTGTTGCCTGAGGTCTTCATGTTTCTGCTTTCTGTTATAAATATGTTCTTTTGTGGGATGTTAAAGAGAGCTTGAGAATGAGTGGTTAATTAACTTTTTAAAATTGCATAATTTTTTTTAGTCTTGAATCCAGATAATAGTTTTGAAATATTAGTGGACCAATCTCTTGTGAACAGTGGAAATCTACTAAATGACATGACTCCTCCTGTAAATCCTTCACGGGAAATTGAGGACCCGGAAGACCGGAAACCTGAGGATTGGGATGAAAGACCAAAAATACCAGATCCTGATGCTGTCAAACCGGATGACTGGTGAGCCTTTGAATGCAATGGAGTTTGTGTATTCCATGTGGCTTTAACAAGTGAATGTTTAGTTCTGATAATTTTAATAATCTATGATGCAGTTCAAATGGTAGGAAAAAAATAGACAAAAGGGGCTGAAAGGGGGCCAGGCAGATCATCTGAATTGCCTGTCACCATTTTATAAACCACAAAAGGCTGAAATCCATGTATTTGCCTGTACTGAGACATGTTTGCTTTATGGCAATATCTCAGTTCCCTTGGGCCTGGCATTTTACATGCTTTTGTGAATTCACATTGAAAGCTTCAGTCCTGAGATTTTAAATTTAAATTTTTAATTTTTTTCCTATTTAAATAAAACTCAAGAGATCTGTGCTTTGTGTTGGACAGTGGATGCAAAGCCACAAGGACATGAACTCTCACACAGCTCCATTTCAGCTTTTATGTCCCTTACGGAGTTTTTTTTGCTGATTTTCACCCTTTTTCTTGTTAAAATGTTAAGCAATAAAACATATAATAAAAATATATGCATGGTGTTTTCAAATTATCTCTTGATAATTTGAAGTTGGCATGCATATGGTGAGTGGTCTAATAGTAGGTGTTACTTGGGTACTCCAACACCTGGACAATTGAATTTAATCATTTGGACATTAGAATGGGATTTTTATTTTCATGAAGTTTTCCCCCTAGTTTGAAATTACATATAAAATGCCTCTTATCTTAAAGAATACAATAACCTTTTTTATTTTAACAAAAGTAAAACATATTCAGTATAGTAATGACCAGAGAGCATCAAGTATAAATCAGGGTGGTTTCTTAGAGCAGTGCCAATCAGATTAAGACTTGAAAGTGGAGGGACAGTTATTAACTAAGTGGTAAAGATGGAAAATTGTATTAAAGAAACACATCATGTGTAGAATTGGAGAAGGAGTGAGTTCAGTATGTATGAGGGAAGTTGAGTATGCATGGTCTTTTGTGTAGCATACAAAGTGGAGAGTGATGAGAAATGAAAACTGGCTTTTGGAAATGTCAGAAAGTGCATAAAGACAAATAAAACTGTTCTCCCACTTGTAAAACTATCTTAAGCTTAGCAGGGAAATTGTAGTTGATGTTTTTCCTCCCTTAAATTAAGGTGCGGGTTCCTGAACTTTTATGCTGCACTAGTGTAAAGGCCAAGTTGACTTGTGTATTTGTTGTACATTAGATATGGACTCAGCCTTGTTGTTCAGTAATATTCCTTTACTAGCTGTTTTATTTTGGGACAGAGGGTGTGAATGTTTTGCTTCTAAGCGTCAGCTGATTGTTATACAAATTCAGGTTCACACAATTTAAAACAAGCATAGTTCAAAAATAAGCATATGGCCAAGGATAAATGATATCTTTGCTTACCAACTAAAGTTGCTCTATTTTTTATTAATTGCACCAAAGTTGGTAGTTCTTTTTTTAAATATTTTTATGTTTTTTTAATTTATTTCAGAGAGGAAGGCAGAGGGAAGTAGAGAAAACAATCAATGATGAGAGAGAATCATCATTGGCTGCTTCCTGCAACTGCCATCCTCCTACTAGGGATTGAGCCCAAAACCTAGGCAGTGCCCTGACCAGTAATGGAACCCTGACCCTTCAGTCTGCAGGCTGACGCTTTATCCACTGAGCCAAACTGGCTAGGGCTGGGTTGTCTTTTTATTATTGAGTTGTAAGAGTTCTTGATATTGCCAAGACCGGTTTGGCTCAGTGGATAGAGCGTTGGTCTGCGGACTCAAAGGTCCCAGATTTGATTCCGGTCAAGGGCATGTACACGGGTTGCGGGCACATCACCAGTAGGGGGTGTGCAGGAGGCAGCTGGTCCATGTTTCTCTCCCATCAATGTTTCTATCTCTCTATCTATCTCTCTTCCTCTCTGTAAAAAATCAATAAAATATATTTTTTTAAAAAGAGAGTTCTTGATATGATTTGGAGATTAGTCCCTTATCAGATATATGATTTGCATGTAATTTTTAGGAAGAATTTTGAGTTTTGAGATTAAGATTTAAATATTTTTAGATTGCCCTGCTTCAGATTCTCAAAGGGGACCACATTGTGATTCTCTGGCCATTGTTGTCATAATTGGCTTTTTCTTATTTAAGGGATGAAGATGCCCCTGCTAAAATTCCTGATGAAGAAGCCACAAAGCCTGAAGGCTGGTTAGATGATGAGCCCGAATATGTAGCTGATCCAGATGCGGAAAAGCCAGACGATTGGTAAGAGCTTTAGTTAACTTTGTAATTACCTGCTTTGTAAGAAAATATATTTTTATTGATTTCAAAGAGGACGAGAAAGAGAGAGAGAGAGAGAGAGAGACATCAGTGATGAGAGAGAATAACTGATCGTCTGCCTCCTACATGGCTGCTGCTGGGGATCGAGCCCGAAACCCAGGTTTGTGCTCTGACCTAGAATGGAATCAGTGACCTCTTTATGGGTTGACGCTCAACCACTGAGCCACACAAGCCAGACTAATTGACTGCTTTTTTATTGAAGTAAAAGCTTCTACATAAAGATAGCTGAGTGCCCAAACTTAAGTGTAGAGCTTAACAGATTTTATCATTACTTTATGTATTTATTGTTAATCCTCACCAGAGGATTTTTTTTTTTTTTTTTTTAATGGAACGCTTCCCGAATTTGTGTGTCATTCTTGCACAGGGGCCATGCTAATCTTCTCAGCATCGTTTCAATTTCAGTGTAGTATGTGCTACTGAAGCGAGCACAGAGGATATTTTTTCCATTGCTTTTCAGAGAGTGGAAGGGAGGGAGGGTTGGGAGAAAGAAACATTGATGTGAGAGATCCATTGGATTCTCCACAACACAATCCAGGTACATGCCCTTGACCAGAAATTGAACCCATAGCCTTGATGCTGGGGCCAATGCTCTAACCATTGAGAAACATAGGGCAGGGCGATTTAATTATTTTGTATGTCTCTTTTTAATGCACCTCAATGAGAAACTAGTTAACAGAAATGCAGAAACAGCATGGTGCTCTATAGTATGACACTGAAAGCATTCCTACAGGATTTCAGATATCATTTGTCTGATTTTCTGAGATGGCAATTTGTAGTCCTACAACACAGAACCCATTTGTAGCTGGTTTATTTCTTCACAGGGATGAAGATATGGATGGAGAATGGGAGGCTCCTCAGATTGCCAACCCTAAGTGTGAGTCGGCCCCTGGGTGTGGTGTCTGGCAGCGACCTATGATTGACAACCCTAACTATAAGGGCAAATGGAAGCCCCCCATGATTGACAACCCTAACTACCAGGTGTGTATCCCTCTAGTGTTTCTTTTTTTTATTTTTTAAAATATATTTTTATTGATTTCAGAGAGGAAGGAAGAGAGATAGAAACATCAATGCCGAGAGAGAATTACTGATTGGCTGTCTCCTGTACGCCCCTATTGGGAATCGAGCCTGCAACCTGGGCATGTGCCCTTGACTGGTACTGAGCCTGGGACCCCTCAGTCCACAGGCCAACACTGTGTCCACTGAGCCAAACCAGCTCGGGCTATTTTGTTTTGTTTTAATACTTACCTGAGAATACATTTCAAAGCTTTTAGGGGAGTGGCAGGGAGAAGAGAGAAGCATTGATTGGTTGCCTCCTGTACTCGCCCCTACCGGGAATTGAACTGGCAAACTTTGACTGCATACTCCAACCAACTGAGCCACACCAGCCAGGGCTAAGTGTGCTTCATTGACCTGGTTGTGTTCAGATAGAAGTTTTGTCTGTAGTAAGGCTGCTGGATTGATCACTATTTTCTTTTTTAATATATTTTATTGATTTTTTACAGGGAGGAAGAGAGAGGGATAGAGAGTTAGAAACATCGATGAGAATCATCAATCAGCTGCCTCTTGCACACACCCACTGGGGATGTGCCCGCAACCAAGGTACATGCCTTTGACCGGAATCGAACCCAGGACCCTTCAGTCCGCAGGCCGACCCTCTATCCACTGAGCCAAATGGGCTTTTAGCTGATCACTATTTTCAAGTAATTGAATTACAAAGTAAACTTCATAAATTGAGAGAGAACTTAATGTGTTCAGTATTGAAAAGAAAAATCTCGAAACGGGGAAGGAGCTTTCATTATTGCTTTGTACTTTTGTTTAAAAACAAAGAAAAGACAAATGGAAAACTTGCAGTTTGGGTTCCCTGCTATCATGTGGCAGGGGTGCTTCAGCCACAGGGCACAGAGTGGCAATCTGTGACTTTTAGCGAGGGGAAAGGAGGAGGAGGGACAGAGAGAAACATTGTGAGAGAGATACCATTTGGTTGCCTCCCGCATATATCCTGATCAGGGATGGAGATCAGGCTTTCACCCGAGGTCCATGCCCTTCACTGGAACCTGGGGACTATTCATTCTGAGAGCTGACACTCTCCACTGAGCCCAACCGGCTAAGGCTTAAGTGTTTTTTAATTGTGCAGTTAAACAATCAGTTTAGTTAGAAGTTGCCCTTAAGAGAAACTGCACTTTGGCTGTTTTGTTGATGACCATTTAGATGGATTGCCTTTTTTTTTTGAATCCTTGATACAGTAGTCATCCTTGTGCATGTCTGAGTATACGTTGTAACTATTTCTCTTAGTTGTTAGTAAGAAATGAAATTGCTGGTTGAAGATCATTTAAATTTCATTTCATGCATTTATTTTCAGATTGGGGAAGAGTAGTCTGAATTGGGCTATGAGGCCCCCTTGTGGAGTGCCTCACCTCAGCATTGAACTCACTTGGCCGGCCGTGAGTCTGTGCCAGGCTCCTCCCGAGGGCGGGCTCCGTGGCATCTCCTGCCCAGTCTGTCCTCGTGGAAACTGGTCTTTGGGAACTCACCTCCCCGCAGGTCAGGGAGGGCCCTGTTAGAGCCACTCTTGGCCCTAGTCTCAGACCTTCCCAGGGGACATGAGGACACTCAGCACATAGCCCCCCCCAATAAGCTTTCTTCACTTGATTTTTAGATATATTTGTATTGATTTCAGAGAGGAAGGGAGAGAGAAATAGAAACATCAATGAGGGGGTATCATTGATTGGCTGCCTCTTGCATCCCCCCTGCTGGGGAGTGAGCCTGCAACCTGGACATGTGCTCTGATTAGGAATCGAGCCATGACCTCCTGGTTCATAGTTCGATGCTCAAGCATTGAGCCACGCTGGGTGATCATTTACATTTTAAATCACCACTGAAGAAATTGTACCAATTTAGGCTCCCACTCCTACTAGCAAACTAGTGGAGGCTTTGGAATGTGCCAGGCACAGCGAGATACTGGTCTAGAATCTAGATGAAGGTCATGGATATTAGAAATTGAAAGTAATTGAAGTTTAGACATCTTAGAGGCAGAATATAAAACATCAGTAGCATAAATTGTTTACTTCTTGTTACTCAGTTAAGTTTTAACAAATTCAGCACTTAGCTTCATTTATCCTGAGGAATTCATCTTAATTTTTATTTAGGAATTTTTATTTAGGTTCATCATAAATTTGTGTTGACCATTATCTGAAATGATTTTAAAAATTGTTTTCTCTAGGGAATTTGGAAACCCCAGAAAATACCAAATCCAGATTTCTTTGAAGATCTGGAACCTTTCAAAATGACTCCTTTTAGTGCTATTGGTTTGGAACTGTGGTCTATGACCTCCGACATTTTTTTTGACAACTTTATCATTTGTGGCGATCGAAGAGTAGTTGATGATTGGGCCAGTGATGGATGGGGTCTGAAGAAAGCTGCTGACGGGGCTGCTGAGGTTTGTGCTTGCTTGTTTCTTGTGCATTTATATCTGCAATTGCTACTTTTGCAAAAACCTATCTATGGTTTATCTTCCCTTATTTGGGAATATTGTTATAAAAAGTGATCGTATGCCTACTAAAGACAAAATACTGGGTTTTTGGAAATGATTGCTTTAGTCTCATGCAATGGCTTTAGAATCTTTTTTATGTATAGGGTTTTATTTATTTGTTTACTTAGTAGAGGCCCAATGCATAAAGACTCCTGCAAGAATGGGCCTTCCTTTCCTGGGCTGCTGGCACCACCTTAGCTTTGGCTGGAGCCACCTTTCCACATTCCCATGCTGCCCAGAGGCCTGGAGCGGCCAGGGTGGTGTGGAACGCCTGCGTGCAAGTGTCCTGCCCCACCCCTGGCCCTCAGCACCTGCGTATGCATACTAACCAGTCATTTTTGTTGGGTTAATTTGCATACTCACTCCTGATTGGCAAGTGGGCATTGCGAAGGTATGGTCAACTAGCATGTTACTCTTTTAATAGGTAGATTATTGTGTTAAAATATATTTAACAAAATTGCTATTCAGGATATTTTTTTAAAAAATATGTTTTATTGATTTTCTACAGAGAGAAAGAGAGAGGGATAGAAATCTAGAAACATCGATGAGAGAGAGACATCGATCTGCTGCCTCTTGCACACCCCCTACTGGGGATATGCCCGCAACCAAGGTACATGCCCTTGACCGAAATCGAACCTGGGACCCTTCAGTCCCCAAGCCGACGCTCTATCCATTGAGCTAAACTGGTTTCGGCTCAGGATATATTTTAATGCACTCTTAAATGTTGAATCTTGATTTGCCCAATATGTAAATTTTTAAACAATTGGTCATATGGCTGAGTTATAAATTGGAGAGCCAGAGGCATTCAGATCAAGAAATTATTCATTCACTGGTTCCTGAAATTAATTAATTTAAAAAAATATATTTTATTGAATTTTTACAGAGAGGAAGGGAGAGAGATAGTTAGAAACATCGATGAGAGAGAGTCATCCATAAGTTGCCTCTTGCACACCCCCTACTGGGGATGTGCCTGCAACCAAGGTACATGCCTTGACCTGAATCAAACCCGGGACCCTTGAGTCCGCAGGCCGACGCTCTATCCACTGAGCTAAGCCCGTTTCGGCTGAAATTAATTCTTTTGCTGATGATTAAGAAGCCAGCTTTCATAGCTGTGAAAGGGAAATCACCTTGATGATATGGAGAAAAGAAAATTGAGGATTTTTCTCCTATTTCCTTTTTTTGCTATATGAACATCTTGGCTTGAATCCTTTGGAAAGGTGGAGCCTGGGTAGTACCTACCATGTAGTCATTGAACAATGGAAGAGTGCTCGCTATATTTGGTGTCAAAATGAGAACTTGAAATCAGTGATGTCTTCTTTTTCAGCCAGGTGTAGTGGGGCAGATGCTGGAGGCAGCTGAAGAGCGTCCGTGGCTCTGGGTGGTCTATGTTTTGACTGTAGCACTGCCTGTGTTCCTTGTAATCCTCTTCTGCTGTTCTGGAAAGGTATGAGTATTGGTTTGGTTTTAAGACACTTTTAGAAAGAACTCTTATCTTATTTTAAAAAATAAGATATATTGCCTGAGGTTTTCTTTCTAGCAGCTCAGTTGTGGCTAGACCGCATTTGGTGTTGACTTCTGAAATTTTATTCACTATTCTGGGCGGCCATGCATTGTACTCAGATGGGAGTAGCATTTGTAGCCCCTTCATTTCTAGTAGTATTTTAACCACTCTCCTTAATATTTGTCAGCAGCTTTCTGGGGCAGGAAGGAAAACAACAACAAAAAACTTAGATATAAATCTGGCCATTTGGGCATAAACTAGTTTTTCCTCTTGGCAGAGCTATTTCCATTCATACACTTTATAATTCTCATTACCAGGTTCCTCCCTTAGTATCCCTAATCCCTTTGACCTCCCTCTACACACAAATACGTGTAGGGTAAAACAGCCTGCTTTTCTTGT